TTCTACAATGATCCCTAAGTCTTCAGCACAGGAGTTGTGCTACAGATGTATCAACTGGTATTGGGCTCCACAACTGTATTTTGATCAATTGTAGGTTTCTGAGTTGTCCCCATCTATTGCAAGAATAAATTACCTTGATGAGGGGTGAGAACTGCACTTATCTGTAGGTATTAGAATAAGTAATTAGAATGTAGTTAGGGATTACGCTGCTTTAGTAAATTGGTGGTTGTAGATTCTCCTCTAAGATCCACGACTTCACTAACTCCAAATAGTTAGTTGGGTTCCCAGACCCAGACATTACTTCCCTCTTGTTGAGCCAGCCTTAGGTCCAGTTAGTGAGCTTTTGGTCACCACCGAGGAATGGTGTTGACTACTGCACCTTTAGGGTTTTTGTGCCATGCTGATCATTGTGCTCCGTGGGTGCCATAGCTGAGTAGCACTGTTGGCTGCTTCCCTCCTTTGGAAGCTTGTATGGCCTTCTGGTACAGGAAGGCTAGTCCTCAGGGAGGAGACTTTCAGGATAGATCCAGCCGGGGTCATCTGGGTCCTGTGTCCGAAGTGTATGGTGTCATCAGTGATAGGGATTTATCTTTCCAGAATGTCTTAGTCAAGTTCTAATACTATGAAGAGACACCACGATCCCTGAATCTTGGAAAGTGTTTAATTGGGACTTGCTTACAGTTTCAGAGATTTAGTCCATTATCAGCACAGTGGCAAACATCGTGCTGGAGAAGGAGCTAAGAGTTCTACATCCAGATCCAAGGGAAGCAAGAAGAGAGAGCCATCGAGCCTGGCTTAGGATTTTGAAAACTCAAGACCCACGCCCAGTGACACACTTCCTCAACAAGGACGAACCTACTCTGCCAAGACCACATCTTTTGAAATAGTGAAGTAGTTTCTGATGACTAACTATTCAAATATATGAACCTATGGGGGCTATTCTTATTCAAACCACTATACAGAGGCAGAATTTTTTTTAGTTGCCCTGATTAACAACAAACTTGTGATCTTCCAGCCTCAGCCTTCTGAGTAGCTGCTCCACTAGGCCCAGCTCATTAATGTTGTTTATTAATTATGAAAAGTGTAGTCACTGAGAGTTGCTGGGTATCTAAATGCAGTTTCAAACAGTGAAAGTAAGTGAGCAGTGAGAACCCTGTGCGGTGCTGATAAACAACTGTCCCCTCACTCCTCTCTCATTGTAGCACAACTGAATGAACAAGGGGTTTTATGGATGTGTGTGCTTTGCTGGCTCATGGGATCTCCAAACTCAGCTTACCTAGAAAGAAAATCTATACATTTCGATTTCATAAAACGCATAAGCAGTATTAAGACTGTAAGCTTGGGGCTGGTTACATGGCTCGGCAGTTGAGATCACTTGTTCTTGCAGAGAACCCAGGTTCAGTTCCCAGCACACACGTTAGCTCCCAACAACCTGTAGGTATACATGTGGTGCACAAAATGCATGCAGACAAAACACTCATAAATGCATCTAATTTTTTAAAAGACTGGCTCTTCTATAGTGTATCAGACTCTGTATTTGCTACCCATCTCTCTACCATGCCAAATACAGTCTTTGTATTTCTATCTAAAACTGAATACGACTTTTCTAACTTTGGGGCTGGGCCTGCTTTCCATTTTCCTTTCAGTTATGAGGTTGATGAATCAATCTCTCAAGTCTGCTTTCCGAATCACATGTCTGGCAGTGTGTCTTAGTGCTTAATAAGTGCCTTTGTTATTGTTGCAGTTTTGGCTTAGGTATAATGTTTAATGTGGAAACTTCCAACAATGCACAAAAGTAGAAGAAAATAGCTCATTAGCTCTCCAGGAGCCCAGTTTTAATTATCCACTTTTGTTTGATCTCAATCACCACCCACCAAGATCACTTTGAAACAAGCCACATATAGTATGTTATTCATTTATAAATATCACAATATATGTTTCCAAAGAATAAGGACTTTAAAAACTGCAAAATCACTATAGAGCTGGAGAGATAGCTCAAAGGTTAAAAGCACTTGTTGCTCTTGGTAGGACCTGCCTTCAATCCTCAGCATACATATGGCTGCTCAAAACCACTTGGAACTCAAGTTCCAGAGGATCTAATGTCCTCTCCCACAGCCATGGTCACACACCTTTAACCTCAGCACTTGGGAAGCAGAGGCAGGTGGAGACCAGATTGGTCTACAGAGTAAATTCCAGGACAGCCAGGGCTGCACAGAGAAACCCTGTCTTGTAAAAACAAAATCAAAACTAAAAAATGTCATTTTCCCTACTCGTCACATAATTGGGTTGTTTTGTTTAGGTAGTGATTTTAAAAATTTATTTTTATTTTATATGCATTGGTGTTTTGCCTGCATGTATGTATGTGTGAGGGTATCATATCCCCTGGAACTGGAGTCACGGACAGATGTGAGCTGCCATGTGGGTGCTGGGAATTGAACCTGAGTCATCTGGAAGAGCAGTCAGTGCTCTTACCTGCTGAGCCATCTCTCCAGCCCCTTAGATAGTGTTTTTGTTTTGTTTGCTTTGGTTTGGTTCCTTTTTTTTTTTTTTTGGAGGGGGGTTTATGATGACAGGATCTCACTCTGTAGTCCAGGCTGACCTGGAACTTAAAGACAACTCTTTTGTTTCAGTATAAGTGCTGGAGGTATGAGCCATCACATCTGCTGATCTTTTAAAAAGCAGTTTGTTGCATCTGTATTTTGATAGCTTACTTAAGCTTTCATATTAATTGAAAGTGTAATTAAGGCATGAGGAGGAATTTAGTTATAAATGTGTTCACTGCAGTGTTGTTTAGGAGAGACGGAATCAGGTGTGTGGAAGATTCCAAAAGGGACCCAACAATGGAATACAAGACAGCAATTTAGATCATATCATAAATAAAAGGGCATTGCTAAGTCAGAAAAGCAGGTCAATTCTTTCTTCCACTTTTTCAGTAAATCAAGTGCGTATATCATATACCTATTTCTGAAAGATGGGAAAACTAATGATTTTAATTCCCTCTTAATTTTTAAAAGTGTTATTTATTTATTATGTATACAGTATCCTGCCTGCATGCATGCCAGAAGAGAAAACCAGACCTCATTATAGATGGTTGTGAGTCACCATGTAGTTGTTGGGAATTGAACTCAGGACGCCTGGAAGAACAGCCAGTGCTATTAACTGCTGAGCCATCTCTCCAGCCACGCTCCCCCCTTAATTTTTACAATGAAATACATATTTCTACAGTGACCATGTGTGACTTCTGTAAGGCATGGTGGCACATGTCTTTAATCCCAGCACTTGGGAGGCAGAGGCAGAGGCAGAGGCAGAGGCAGAGGCAGAGGCAGAGGCAGAGGCAGAGGCAGAGGCAGAGGCAGAGGCAGAGGCAGAGGCAGAGGCAGAGGCAGAGGCAGAGGCAGAGGCAGAGGCAGAGGCAGAGGCAGAGGCAGAGGCAGAGGCAGAGGCAGAGGCAGAGGCAGAGGCAGAGGCAGAGGCAGGTAGATCTCTGTGAGGTAAAGGCCCATAGAACAGGTTCCAGGCCAGCCACTGTGTTATAGAGAAACCCTGTCTTCAAGAAACAAGCCAACCAAACTACGATAGCAGAAGTGCATTGACTTGGTTGTCTGGCAGATTTCCTATATGCAGCTAGCTATACTTGGCTGTGCTTTGTTCTGACCATGAGTTTCCCTCCTGCCCTGAGAGGAGTCCTTGTGAGGCGTGAAGAGGCATGAGCCACAAGGGTTGTGCCCTCACCTGCCCATCTGGCTCACCGGCACACAGCTGCACAAAGGGTCATTCATGCGGCGGCTGTTCACCACCACCAAGGCTCCTGGTCTCAAGTGCCATCTTGAGAAGGTGAGAAGCGCAAATGATTCAGCACTCTTCCACTTAAAGGAAGGGAAACTGAGTCACAGAGAACCTGCCTTTTCCTCCCTTGCTGCCCTTCAGGTTAGTCTTAGGGTTTTAGGCTAGACAACTGAAACTGTTCCTAACTGGGTGACAATGTCTCAAATCTCTTTTGAGTTTCAACATCTTAGTGTGGGTGTGTGAGGGGCAGGGCCTTGTGTTTGTCCAAAGGGGTGCTTAATCCTGCCTTGTGTGACACACCACTCCACATTCTGTGGTACATGATCTGACCAGACTCGCTCAGGTTCTCACGCCCATTTAAGGCAAGCCTGGCTTCTGCTTGGCTTTGTATCCTGTGGATTCCTCATTCTGTCATTGTCACCATCGCTGACCCTTACCACCAATAAATACAGACCCCAAGTCCCTCTCCATGCATGTCCCTTGATGCTCAGCTCATGCCTTCTGCTTTCTGTGGTCCTCCCTCACTCCAAGGTCAAGTGGTATCTGCTGTCCCCACGTCACTCCCTTTCCACCCTGCCACCTCCTCTGTCCTCTGTACCCAGAACTTAGTCAGACACCATCTCTATGCACTGATAGTGGCTTGGTTCCAACGTATCTACAGACACCGAAACCAGAGGACTTTCAAGTACTTTATGTAAAAACTGCATGGAGTTTGCATGCAAGCGAAGTAAACCCTCCTTAATCTACTTCTACTATCTAAAGCAATCTAAATGTTATGTGAGGTTTAAGAAATAAAAGTCTGTATGTGTTCAACACAAATACAATTAAATCAAATTTTATGTAGCTCAGGCTGGCTTCAGACTCACCATGTAGCTAAGGATAATCTTGAATTTCTGATCTTCCTCTGCCTCTATCCCCTAAGGACTAGATTGTAAGCATGCATTGCCACTCCTGGGGTGAGCTTTGTGTGTTTCAGACAAACACTCAAACACTCTACAAACCGAGAAAAATCCTCATCACCACAAATTCAATATGGAAAAAAAAGTTTGAAATTGTATTTTATTGTATGTGGATGAGTGTTTTGCTTCCATGTATATCTGTTGCACCTGTTGTGTATGACAAAACTTTTCCTGGGAAGACAAAACACATACATCTACTCACCCCAGATAGGGAGCTCATGACAAACCAAAGTACGGATACCACCAAAGTGCAACTTGGTGAACCAATGAGCTTTATTGCAGTTACTTATAGGAGTGGAAATGACTCAAAGACAGCTGATGGCCAAGGCCCACCCCAGCAGAAAAGGCAGCTTGCAAAGCCTGCAGGCAGCTTAGCCAGTTGGAAAGTGTCCTTTTCCAGGTTCCTCGGTTGGTCTAAACCTCTTCCAGAAGCTCAGCTGGTTTCTGCTTTTTCCAGGCAGCTGTTTTTGTCTCAGCAGCTTCTTGGTTTGTCTGTCTTCTTTGCAGCTGTGTTTCCCTCCTCTGCAAAGGGTCTCACCTTTTATTGTTTACTCTAGCAGAGAGGAGCCCAGTGAATCTGGTCAGTTTCAGGGACTTCCTGAATTTATTTTGAGTTGTTTCCCTTCCTGTTTAAGGAGCTTCCCTGCAGAATGGAATGTTTCAATCTTGGAGGAAACTGTTGTACAACAGCACCACATGTGTACAGCGGCAGCAGAGGCCAGAAGAGGGCATTCCCTTGAAACTGGATGGTTGTGAGCTAGGAATAGAACTTGAGTTCTTTGCAAGTACTCCTTACTTCTGAACCATCTCCCCAGCCCAGCAGATGCAGAAGGAGCAACTGGAGTCTTCTTATTCTCCACTAGTACCTTCTAAATGTCCCTCCTACCTTTGCAGGGCAGAGACTGACTGGTTGACACTTCTCAGGTGCCAAGCCCAGAGCTAAGTGATTTACATAATGATCTCATTCCACAATAACAATAAACCTGTATTATCATCCCACTTCACAAATGAAGAAACCGAAGCTCAGAGATAGAGTCACTTGTCCGAGGTCACAGCTAGAAAACCATAGTTACATTGTTTCCGTTTCCATCAGACTACAAGACCTGTGCTTTTCATCATAGTATCAACTCTGTGGTCACTGTTACTTCCATCAGATTTCCCTGATGCTCTGTTGGGAACTTCCAGCCATCCTCAGTTCAAGGTGGTAGACAAGCCTCCTGCTGATTGTCCTCTCTGACTGCAGTCTCAGGGTTTTGTGGTCTCCAGCCTAGAGAGTGGTTGGGATGAGAACACTCAAAGCTCTGTGTAGCCTTCCACCCCCCACATTCTTGCCTCTGTGCACCCCTCCCTGTTTTACAACACCTCTCTCCCACTTCTTTTTGGGGGGGACATTTAAGAAGCTAGAAGATTCTCCCTGGAAACTCAAGAGTCTCCGAGGCTGCGGGGCTGGTTTCTCTTGATAGGAGTTGGTAAGAAAATGGAGCCGTGCATCAGTGAAGGTCCCCTAGGAGATCACCTAGATTGAAGAGAAGGTCCCTCCAACCCCAACTCAGCCACCTCTTTGGGACCCTTCTGCTACCCCAACCTCCTGTGCGTTAAGCTCCACCCCTATCCCAGTACCTTAAAGTTCGGGGGCTGCATTCAAACCCTAGATTTCCAAGTAGGGGGTGTGTTGGACTGACTTCGGGAGGCATCTTGTCCTGGAAGAATGGGGGAAATGTGGCATAAGCCACAGCTGCTGCCTCCAAGGACATCTGTATAGCTCCCCAGGGACCCTCTGCCCTTTCCCCCTCCCACAAGCCTGGGCGAGCAGGGACCAAGCTTGCTTGTTATCACCTGACGCTGAGCAGCCTCTCTCTGATCCCATTGGTGGAGCCAGATTCGGTCTGGCTCTCCCGTTCCTTCTCGATTTCTCTGCCTCTCTCTCCTCCACGCTGCTTTGATTTCGCTCTTGCCTCTCTCTTCTTGTGCACTCACTCGCTGGGCTGCGAGCAACGTCGTCTTCCTGCCGGGAGCAGTAGCGGTAGCTGCAGAGCCAAACAGGAGGGGCTGCCTGTGGGGCATGGAAGCAGCCTCCCCGGTGGTAGCCCAGAGAGAAACGAGCAAGCCCCGCTGCCTGTGACCTAGGCGTCAGGCTGCTGTCCCTTGCCAGGGGAGCTCATCATCCACGGAGCGGTTTCTCCTTTCCTTCTCTTCCAAGTCTCCCTCTGCAGGGCCGGCTGAAGCCAGGTGAGTGAGCGTCTTCCCCCAAACCATCCTGCCTATTCAGAAAGGTTTGAGAGCTGTGGCCACCAGGGTCCCACAACTGCCCTGGCTGTCCACCTGGGTCGCCAGGCCTGGCGACCTTGTCCCCTTTCCCCTAAGTCCTTGGCAAAGAGCTTAACAGTTGGATCTGGTCTCCGGGACGACACAGTTAGTTACCCCGTGACCATTCTGCGCAGTCGGCGATGCCAAAAGGTTCTGCTGGGTGGGGGAGCGTTCCCTATGGCATGCCAATGGCTTTTTGGAATGGGCTCGGGGAAGGGACCCCAGTGTGTACAATGTGTTTGCATGGTTGGGGGGAGGCTGAAGGCTAGCTTGCGCAGATAGGTCTGTCTCCACGCAGTTAGGTTCCTTTGGGATTTCTGACCAGCTTATGGCATGTTTCAGAACATTTTTATGCGTGAGGTACATGTGTGCGGGGGCAGCGTCTATCTGAGTAGCTTGTGGGCATATATGGGCAGGGGCCCCAAGAGACAGTATTTTTAGGGGGTGGACATGTCACTTGTCATGTGGGTGGGAGTACATGTTGAGGGAGTACTGTAGCAACCAGGCTGTTTCTATGCGGGGAGGGGCAACTTCGGGGCAAGACTAGGTGGGTAGGTGGGAAGTGTGGGCACAAGCCTCTGTTTGTGGGCAAACTTGAGTAGGTGTGCAAACCTGTTGGCCTGTGAAGAAGCAGGCTGACCAATGTGGCCAGAGGCAAACATGTTTTCCAAGTCTGTGCCTTGGAACCTACAAAGGCTCCATGGAGAATACCAGAGACCAGGCAAGGATTGACATGTACAAATGTATATGTGTGCCCAGGCAGCCATGTGGTTTGCTTGTCTTTTGGGGGAGGCAGCATGCGTATATGTTGGTGCCTGTGGCTTCCTCTTTCCCTCAGTTATGGCTTGTGATGATGAGGGGCACACGCATGTGGGTACGTGTGAGCCTGTGGACATGAACATGTGTGTGTTGGCATAAAGGTGACAGCTTTCAAAGGGGCAATACTGGGACATTCTTAGAATGTGCAGTGTGGAGGAATGAGGATATCTAAGGAGGCGTGTGCTGAGGTATGTGGGTACCCCTTGCGCATGTGTATGTGCATGCCTGCCTGCCTGCCTGCGTGGGGGTGTGTACATGCCTGCTCAGGGTGGATTCGCATGGGAGTGTGGGTGTTCCTCGGGTGTTGCCTCAACCTGTCCCTCACAGGCTGCCCTTCCCTAGAAGCTGGATTGACACCCGCCCTTCGTCCATGCTGGCTGGCTGCCCTTGCAGGGTCGGTCGCTCCCACTCTCCCAGACCTTAGGCTAGGGTGGGGACCAGCTCTCCCAGAAATGGAGAGGAGGAACGAGCAAGCAGCTGACCTGGAATCTCCACCCACCACCAAAGCTGCCCTGGCCTCTAGGAAGACTCCAAAGTGAGGACGGATCAAGGCGGGGACAGGTGTCTGCTCAGGGCAGGTGTAGGCTGGATCCCACGTGGGTGGGAACCACTCGAGTCCTCAGGTGGGAGTACGTGTTCATGTTTGTGGGTACAGAAAGCTTCCTCAGAAGCTCCTTGTCACTATCCAGGGCGTTGCTAACCCCTTGCTGCTTCCCAAAATTATCTACAGAAACATTGTTATAGGATTGTTTCCAGATACCCTGTCCCATTTTGTCTCATTTGGGAAGAGACCTGGTAGCGCTCCCATGTTTATTGACCCTAGATTTCCTGCCGGGGAGAAAGCTAAGAAGAAACTGGACTTGAGGAACCCCTGGCAGATAAGGCCATCAGCCATCCCCACATTTCTCCCTGTACCTGCCTTCCAGGCAATCCACAGGTTAATTGACAGGGAGCAGGCTTAATTGACAGGGAGATGTGGGTTGGATTTTCTGGGAGCTATAAATAAAAGTACCTGATTTTGCAGGCACAAGGTGCCCTCACCCTCGCTCCTGGGCAAGGGAAGGAAAAGAAAGATGAGTGCAGAGCAGAAGGTACTGTGAGATGTGCTGGGTGGTGGACTGCGGAAGAGAAGCCAGGAAAGGCCCCGAGTGAGGCCACCTGCAGCTCTGTGTGTCCCCCAAGTTCCCCATTCCTGGGAGAACCAGACAAGCTCAGCTAATGCTAGTACAGTCAAGAGAAGTAATGGTGTAGTCTTTTCATGCCCGAAGGGCACAGCTGGGTAGAGCTGAAGGAATAGGAGTAGGAGGCAAGGAAAAATCCAATCACTTGAAAACCACCAATAGGAAGAGAAAAGCAAACAGCAGGAACACAGTCATATAGCATGTACACACTACACACGTACACACACAGCCTTAGTCCATAACAAAGAGCTTGGCCTCCAGTTCTTAATTTGCTGGTTGTGTGGACATGTCAGCATTCCAAACTTTGGCTATCTGTCTGTAAAATAAAATAAGGAGAAAAACAGTACCTATATATCCCGCAGACTTGTGTGAAATGTTATTAGTTTATGTTGTCAGTGTTGAAAGTAATTGTGTAAGTCGGGTGTAGTGGTGCACATCTTTAATCCCAGCACTCAGAGGCAGAGGCAGGCTGCTCTCTGAGTTGGAGTCCAGCTTGGTCTACAGATCAAAGTCCCAGGACAGTCAGGGATGCACAGAGAACCCCTCCCTCAAAAAGACCAAAAGTAATTCTTTAAAAGAGCTAAGCGAGCGCATACTTGTAATCTCAGAGCTAGCGTGGCTGAGGCAGGAGGATAGTGAGTTCAAAGCCTGGGCTGTATAGCAAGACCCTGTCTCAGAAAAGGAGAGAGAAAGAAGTAAAGGAAAGAAAAAAAAAAAAGAAAAGTCAAATGGGTCTATGAAAATAGAAACTGCACGTCAAAATCATGGACCAAAAAGAGCTTAAAACAGGCTGTGGCCCATGCCACCCCCACCCACCACAGAGATATCCATAGCATTTATCCCTCCAGCCCTCCACAGCAGGGCCCCTTGCTGCTGCAGTCACTCCCAGGGAGGAATGAGGCCGGAGCCCCAGGGTCTTGGCACCTGTGGACACTGGCTGCCCCTGACCTGCCACCTGCCTCAGTCCTCAGGCATCAGCCCCTCAGCAGGTGCTTCCTGGGTACCTCCTCCTCCTGGTCCTCCTCACTCCTACCCTTTCTCTTTTCACGCCCGCTGGCTAGGGGCCCCTCCCTCCTCAGCTCCATCTGCTGCAAATCTGTCCCTGCCCAGTGTTTGCAGTATTCCCACTGCCTCTGCCACCTGTCAGGTGCAGTCTGCTCTGTGGACCCTCGGAGGAGAGCCAAGAGCCCCCTCCGGAGGGTACCCCACCTCACCTTAGGTCCCTCCTATCCAGTGTAGCCCCCTTGCAGTCTTTTCTAGCGCATTTACGAGGCAGGGGCATTCGATGGGTATGCGAGGACTCCACCTCACAGAGCATGGTGGGAGCAGCACATTTCCAGAAAGCTCTGTGATGGGAGAGAGATGCTAATCTTTCCTCCGGCTCTCAATCCCCACAGGAGCCAAACCAGAGGGGAACATGGAACTTCTGTCTACCCCCCACAGCATCGAGATCAACAATATCACTTGTGACTCTTTCCGCATCTCCTGGGCCATGGAAGACAGTGACCTGGAGAGGGTCACCCATTATTTCATTGACCTCAACAAGAAGGAAAACAAGAATTCCAACAAATTCAAGCACCGGGTGAGTAAAGGATATCCTGATATTTCTTCCCACCCCTGTTCTACATGGAAGCAGATTGCTGGGCTCTCTAGAAAAACAGGGACAGGCCAGATGCCTGGCCAAAATCCTGACTCTCCTCACGGGGTTGTCTTGCCAAAGTGACCTGACCTTTCTGAGCCTTAGTGTCTTCCTTGGTAAAAGTGGAATGACCACACCACCCTTGTAGAGCCGTTGAAGACTCCATGAGAGATGTTTTTGTGCTGTTTGGCTCCATGCCTGGTACATCCCCAGTGCTGCTATTCCTCATAACTAGACCTTCAGACGGGAGCAGAGCACCTGGGTGTACGGCTGGGTGTGTGGGCTGGGGCCCAAGACCTCACATGTCCGGATCATGTTCCAAACCCCAATAAGGCTCAGGACTCAGGGGTCATACTTGTGGTTGGGTGGGCAGCATAGGCCCCTTTTAGCTGGGCATGTGTACACAATCCTAGGGTTTCTCTGCCCCTTCCCTGCCCACTAGACTGTTTCCACGGTGTACAAAGAGATGTAGGAGGGTTCTCTTCAGTATGTCCTTTCCCCAGGTTAAAAGCCAGCATAGGAGCAGGTGGGAGGGAACCTCTCATCTTCTCCAGCTGTATGCCTAGGCAGGGGAGAGTTCAGCGAAGGAGCTGACTCCCAGGGTGACAGCCTTGGTGTGGGCGCTCCTCTCTCTCTCTCTCTCTCTCTCTCTCTCTCTCTCTCTCTCTCTCTCTCTCTCTCTCTCTCTCTCTCGTTCCCTCCCTCTCTCTCTCTGGATCTGGCTCCCCAGATCTGGGTGTCTTTTGGCAGGCCAGTTGCCACGGTGACGTGAATGTTCCACACCACCCCCTTGGCCCTCCCCCCAAAGAATAAGGCATATTTTTCTCTTCCTCCCTGGCTTCCCAGCATTTGCCGTTGCCGTGGAGACAGCACTGCAGTGTGCAGATTTCTCAAAGTCTCCGTCAGAAATGAAGGTCTCGCCACCTTCAACTTTGGGGCCCTCCATCCTAGTGGCCTTTCCCGTTAGTTCGAAAGAGTATGGGGCATCATGGGGCTTGAAGGAGGTAGCCTCAAGACACTGCTTGCTTCTTCAGTGGAATGGTGGCTGGGCCACAGAACTGTGGAGTCTCTGAAACTCTGGTCCTCCATGGGAGGGAGAGGAGAGACCCTTTTGGGGGAGTGGGGATTCTGGAATAACACCAAGATGGGGTGTGACTTCAAGACTGATGCCTGGCTTTCCATCTGTACGCCGCTTCTCAGGATGTCCCCACCAAGCTTGTGGCCAAGGCGGTGCCTCTGCCCATGACAGTGAGAGGCCACTGGTTCCTGAGTCCCCGTACAGAGTACAGCGTGGCTGTGCAGACAGCGGTGAAGCAGAGCGATGGGGAGTACCTGGTGTCTGGCTGGAGCGAGACTGTGGAGTTCTGCACTGGAGGTGAGACCCCGGTGTTGTGAGAACACCCTGCCTCCATAGCACATCTGGCTCGGTTGAGCCGTGGGAAGCTCTTCATCTTAGCCAGGCATGCTGAGAAACACCTGCTCACACTGGTGCTACACTTAGGCCAGAGGGGTAACACAGAGCCTGCCTAGACAGATGCACACTCCACACATTGGCAGTAACACCTGCATGAAGGGACAGAACTACTTTTTTGGCTTTTTTTCAAGGGAAAATATTTGTAAGTTACTTTATTTTTATTTACATGTACATGTGTGTCTGTATGTGCACACATACATTTGAGTGCTCAGGGAGATGAGAGTATTAGATCCCATGGAACTAGTTGCAGGCGGTTGTAAGCCACCCCACATTGATGCTGGGAATTAGACTCCAGTCCTCTGCAAGAGCAACAGTGCTCTTAACTGCTAAGCCATCTCTTCAGCCCCAAGAATATATGTTTGTCGTCGTGGTGAATAGATGTAGCATAAAACCGACCGTCTGAACCTTAGCTGAGTCCAGAAGTGTAAGTGGTTTCACATGGCTATTGTGCAGTCCACCTTCAGAACTTCACCATCTTGCAAAGTCAGAACACTATCCTCGGAGCCCTCACTCCAGAACACTATCCTCAGAGCCCTCACTCCAGAACACTATGCCCTCAGAGCCCTCACTCCAGAACACTATGCCCTCAGAGCCCTCACTCCAGAACACTATACCCTCAGAGCCCTCACTTCCCATTTTCTCCTCTGGGCCATGCTTACCTCTATTCTGACAATGCAAGGTGCTCATATGAGTGAGATCAAGTGTTTGTCCTTTGGTGACTGGGTTATTTCTTTTATCAGAATATCAGTAAGACGCACAGGTACTATATCATTTACCAGAATTCCCTTCTCACGTAAGGTTAGGCAGTATTCCACTGTATTGGCTAGATCGTGTTTTGTTCATCAATAGTCTACCCGTGGTCATTTGGTAGCACGGTAACATTTTGTTTGTCCTAAGTATCTCCTTAGCCTGGAAAAATGGTTCCTATCTGACAGTCTTAGAAGGGTCTCTTAGGCAGAGCCAAATGTCACTTTGTGTTTGCTTGTCATCGATAGCCAAGGAGCTGCCCCAAAATATTCTATCCCTTTGGTGTCCATGTGAGATCTGCTCCAGATTGCTCTCTGTCACAAGGAAGGGGCAGAGAACATTCTCTGCCCTGGGGCCTCCAAGGCTGCTGGCTCCATCCTCTGCCAAACCCTGTGCCCCTAGTCTCCTTGAGTTGCCGTAACTGTACTAGAGAGGGCCTCCTGCTCCTTGTAGGAATGGCATCTTGGTTTGCCCCCCCCTTCCGAACTGCATATGCAGTGGGTGTTTCATTTAAATTGAGGATCTGGAAAGCTGTAATTGGGTCTACCCTGCTCTTTCCAGAGACCAAGCACACAGAAATGCAGTGGCTACCATGAGCGAAGGGCGTTTGCCTCTAACTTGTTCCAAGGCGCTGTGTAGACAGACAGCTCTGCCTAGGTTCCAAGACCCGGGGTCCAGTCTCAGGCTTTTCCTGAATTGGCCTTTTTATTGCTCCCAAATGGAGAGGCTCAAGTAGACAGCCTGTGCACTAGTGCCCATTTAGACGTACAATTAGCCACCACACTAGCTGTGTGGCAGGCTCTCTCCTGGATTTGAAGGGCCCTCCCAAAGGACCGTGTATTTTCCGTCTCATGTCTTTATTTTTCCTATTGGCCCTCTTTTCACTGTGATGACAGTCTTGGAGCTCCTAATGTGATAACAGGCATTCCTCTGTCCGTTTTGGACTCAGAGCGCCCTGAGCCTCTTGGCAATGCTGACACAGAAGTGAGAACGGATAACAAGCAGTTCTCCGTGTTCCCCGCCAAGGCCAGCTGGCCTGTCCCATCTGAGCCCAGGTTATGGCAGAAACTCCCCTGTTAGTCCGGACGATGAGGTTGCATGCAGTCTTGGTGGGTGGTGTAAGGAGGAAGAAGAGATCCTGCTGCGGACCCGTTGCTCACCGCACCCTGCCTGGACTGTTACAGACTATGCCAAGGAGCACCTTGCCCAGCTGCAGGAGAAGGCTGAGCAGATCGCTGGCCGCATGCTCCGCTTCTCCGTGTTCTACCGCAACCATCACAAGGAGTACTTCCAGCACGCCAGGTAGGGCAAGACAGACCTGCTAGGGCTTCTCCCCCCCAGCTCTTCCTCCATCCCAGAATGCCAAGGCAGAAGCATAATTGCAAGCATAGGGCCAGCCTAGGCTACATAGCAAGACCCTATCTCCAAAAAAAAAATTGTGACTACTACTTTGAGGTTGGGGACAGATCAGGGACAGATCAGGGACGTTGAAGTGGGGCTTCCTGGTAGAGGACCCTGCTGGCAAGGTCAGGTAATAAGTTCTGGGTATGACCCTGCCTTCTGGGGTCTATCATGTGCATCAGCTGTCTCCCCATTTCAGGTCCCAGGAACACAGGGGAGGGGGGAAGAAGAAGGCACGGAAAGCTCTGGGGACTCTCAGTTGACTAGCTTTCAAGCTGAGTGCTAAGGAGTTCAGAGGCTCCAGGGAAGCATTTTGGGGAAATCTTTCAGGGTACTGATCAGAGGCAGATAGGAAGCCAAAGGGCGGAGCTTGGAGGGTCCCACCCACATGATCCAACCAGAGTAGCCTCCATCTTATTTGTCAGTGGCTCCCATGTACATTTGCTCTCTTCCAAGGAGCGAGTGGGAGCAGGGGAGAGAACCAGAGACAGACCGACAAACAGACAGACAGACAGACAGTTGGTCAGACAGACCAGATCTAGCACTTCAGCCTACTGATGTTGAGCCCAAGGCACCAAGGGCTGGCAAGTCACTTGCCTCTCACGACAGCCAGGGTAGGCAAGAATGAGGCTGGAGCAGGGCTTGTAACCCTCCCCCATGTCTGCTGACACTGCCTCAAGTCCATGTCCTTCCAAGCTAGGTCAGGGCAATCTGCCATGTTACTGTCTTTATCATTACTGGCAGCTGCGGTGGGCGTTCCCCCCTTGCCCTAAGAAAGCAGTAAAGAACCGGAGGTTTCCGTATTTCTGATAAAGAGGAGGCAACGGTCCTGTTTAGGCTCCCTTTTCAGGATGAAAGGGAGACAAGGGGTACCCACCTGTGCCGGGCTCCTTACGAAGGGCCAGGACATGCAGGCTGAGGCAGAGGTTACTCATCCTCAGAGTCTGGTGAGGGAGGCAGCATGAAAGTCTGTGACTTCGTGGGGGCTGCAGGCTAATAGGAATGCTGGAGTTGGGCTGGCTCTTTCTCTTCTGGACTACACATTGCAGCCAGACTCCAGCAGAGCTAACCCATGGCGTTTTTCCCTTCTCTTCGGCGTTCCTCCCCGGTGGGCAGGACTCACTGTGGGAATGTGCTGCAGCCTTACCTGAAGGACAACAGTGGCAGCCACGGCTCCCCCACCAGTGGCATGCTGCATGGCGTCTTCTTCAGCTGCAACACGGAGTTCAACACAGGCCAGCCCCCACAAGACTCCCCTTATGGCCGCTGGCGCTTCCAGATCCCTGCCCAGCGCCTCTTCAACCCCAGCACCAATCTCTACTTCGCGGACTTCTACTGTATGTACACAGCCTACCACTATGCCATCCTGGTACTGGCACCCAAGGGCTCCCTGGGGGACCGCTTCTGCCGTGACCGTCTGCCCCTCCTGGACATTGCCTGCAACAAGTTCCTGACCTGCAGTGTGGAGGATGGGGAGCTGATCTTCCGCCACGCTCAGGACCTCATCCTGGAGATCATCTACACCGAGCCGGTCGACCTGTCCCTGGGCACGCTGGGAGAGATCAGCGGGCACCAGCTCATGAGCCTGTCCACTGCCGATGCCAAGAAAGACCCCAGCTGTAAGACCTGCAACATCAGTGTGGGCCGCTAGGGACTCCTGGGGAGCTGGAGGCCTGGGGAGAGGTGGCAGGAGGGCAGGGGATGTGTGGCTTAGATTTGGGGAGCCGGCTTTCTCTCCCCTCCCCCTGCTCCCTCCACTCTGTCTATCCACCCCCTCCCACCCCGTGCTGGAGACAACAGAAGGTGGTCCTCTTAGCATGGCCCATTTCAGGCCTTGGTGGACTTGGGGTGGGGGTGTTCTCAGCGGGAGATAACTTCTTTTTCTGTTTCCCTTTTTTTGTTTTTGGGCCTCAAGCAGGCCTCCATCTCCCAGAGTCCTCCCTGCCTCCTGGGCAGCCTCCATGTAGATGCAGAAAGTTTTGGGGCACTTCCTTCTTAGCCCCACCTACCCCACTCAGGGCCACCCCAGACAGCCCCCTCCCCACTCAGCTGGGCCCCAAGGTCTTTGACTCCTCCAGGCCAGGACCCTCCCTCTATAAATAAGCTCCTGCACTGCTGTCTCACCCTGGCTGCTCCTCCCCCACCCCACCCGACCCCATCCCGCAGAGCCCTCCCTCTTCCCGCATGGGAGAACTGTCCGTCCTTTCTGTCCCTGTCACTGTCCCACTTGAGATACCCTCCCACTCTCTGGAAAAATACCCTCTCTCATTTCCTAGTTTGGAGGGCTCTGGACTCTTGCGCTTTATACTTTTGTCCTGTCTGGGGATGATGATGTATTCCGTGGCAAACCTCCCTTGCTCAGAGAGCACCAGGGCCTGCAAAAGACAGCTGCTGGGGTCGAGGAGGGGGAAGGAGACCCCTGAGACCTAGTCCTCAGCTAGAAGTGGGCCACCTCACTTCTTGGTGGGCCTGACGGATTAGAGAACTGAGTGTGGCCCACAGAGCCCTGGCACCCCGCCCGGCTGTGCATTCCGCTCGCTCTCTCGCCCGCTCTGCCTTCAAGTCGTGACTGTTGTGTGCCGTGTGTGAGCCAGACGGTGGGCTCCCTACCACACCACCTCTTGCTCGGAACATCAGTCCTATCTGGGCTGCTCCCCCAGGAGTTGCTGATGCAGCCCCTCACAGCTCCCCATGTTTTCATATCGTTCCCCTGTTGTCTGGGTCGGGAGGGTGGTGAGAGTGGACTCCCCCCCCCCCCCCCGAGACGAGACAAGCAGGTGGAGAGGCAGAGTTGAGGGAGGGAAAATCACAATAACATTTTCAGAGGCAGCACAGATGATACACAGACTGCTGGAGTTCTGTGAAGGACGGAGGAGCTGGCAGGCCCACGGGGCCATACCTCTCGGGGACAGATGAAGGGCTGGTTACCAGAGTCAGTGCTACTAGACAGTCAGGTACCTCACTGGGATGGGCCAGGAGGTCTGGGATCCTGGGGAATGTGTGCAGAAGAGGATCTGACCCCCAAGCCCCTCCCTTCTGCTGCCAGCATTGCCGTGGGCGTGGCCTGCTGCCTGGTCCTCTGCTCCTGGGTGGGGCACACCCTCCTGTGCTGTGCTTGCCGTGCATCAATAAACCACCGCGGCCCAAGGGCTCCGTCTGTTGTGGTCCATTCAGACAGCTGCAATGAAATGCTGCAGACTTACAAACAGCAGGACCTTCTCCCTCACTGTTCTAGAAATTAAGACTTGACGTCTGGGGCGGGCCTGCTTTCTGACGCACAGACGGCCATCTCTGCCTTTCTGTGCACCCCGCACCCCTGCCATGATGGAAGGGGTGAATAAGTTTTCCTAGCCTTTACGTTTTTTTTTTTTTTTTTTATGTGTATGTCAGTACACTGTGTGCCTGCCTGGTACCTGGCCAAAAGAAGTAACTGAAGGCTGTGAGCCACCATGTAGCTGCTGAGACTCAACCCTGGGTCCTCTGTAAGAGTAGCCAGTGCTCTTAATGGCTGAGCCATATCTCCAGCAGGCCCCCTTTTCAAAAGCTAGGGTTTCTAGTATAGTTGATCCTTCAACTCCATATGTGAGCTGAACGTGAACTTCTGATCCTCCTGTTTCTGCCTCCAGGGTGCCAAGACTACAGACATGTACTGCCATGCCTGGTTTGTGAGGCGCTGGAGACCGAATGCAGAGCTCTTGGCATGCTAGACAAGCACTCCGCTGAACCACAGCTCAGTGGACCTCCAGCCTCCTTCCCAAGGGCACTAATGCCATTCATAAGGCTCCCTCCTTATGAAGGCCAATGCCTCCTAAACCCAGCACTGTGGGACTTGAATTTTCTATATGCACTTTGGGGACGGGGTGCTTGCAGAGCAATCAGGGAAATACGGTAGTGCCTCTCTTTGAGACGGAGGAGAGATGGACAGAGTGGTTAAGTTGCTCTTTCCACCAGGGAGCCACTTGGAACTGCCCCAGTAGTGAACCCAAATCCTACAGTGGGTGGCAGGGCTCAGGACACAGAGGCACAGCTTTGTCCCGTGGAAGTGACTCTGGAGATCGTCTGGTCTCACCTTGTGCTTCCCAGATGTGGCGCTGGGGTGTCTGTCTAGGAAGGGCTCTTTGGGATGCCTGCCTAAAATCCCTGGGCCCCTGATGGAGTCTTCCCTACAGCCACAGCCTGCCATGGCTCAGACCCAGGTGCCACTGGATTCCCTCTCCCAAGAGCCCCATATCCCCTCCTCCCTGGCAGGACTCCTTGGCTGCAGATCTGAGTCACCTCTGCGCCTATTATTATAGGCTTATTAAAATGGTTCTCAGCTGCAGTGAGAATGTTCCAGAACTGTCGCAGGCACCTTACCCACACTGCCTGAGTCAGGGCCAGGGTTACATGTGTCATGGGGCCTGGCCGCTTTGGGATAAAGGAAAACTGAAGGGCAGGTCACCACCACTGAGAGCCTCGTGTGCAGGCACCAGGTTGATACACACAGCAGCTGGGTTGGTCTGCACTGCATGGTGTTCCTACCTCACATACAGGAAACTGAGGCACAGAGCTTAGAGGCTTGCACATGTCTCTGTCAATTCAGAAACAGGACTATCCCACCCAGGGCCCCCTGTGGCTGCCTCCTTTAGAGTATGTCAGTTTATGTGTGGGACATTAGACACAGGCAGGGCCCGTCTCTCAATCAGTGGCCCTTTCCACTGCTCTTCCAGCTCACCGACCACGTGCCTCGTTTCAGAATGACGCCAGGGGGGGCTGTAGAGTCACAAATGTCACAGAGGCTTATTTTAAAGGAGTGGGTAGAGTGAACCCAGCGTTGAAGGATTGGCAGTGACTCTTGCCTCTCTCTGGGCAGTGTGGATTCTGAGAGTCCTTAAGAAGGGGAGTGGGGGCGACTCATCTTTCCCTTTGAAAGTCCCCCAGGGTCTCTCAGAAAGAGGGACTGGCTTTCAGAGTCCTCATACTGGGGGACAAGGGCGGAGAACAGTAGTAACCCTGCTTCTTTCTCTGTCTGGATGGCCACTCGAGCACATGACCAAGCTGGAAGCATCCAGCAGAGAGACAATTGTCAGAGCACCCACTCCAGGAGAAGGAGATGCATACACACCCGCACACCATCCACACAGGAACACACACCTCTTCCCTTGGGCAGGCTTTGGAGGAAGAAAAGAGGCCCAAAGTGGAGCCCAAGGTGGATTACAGCTAAGGAACCTGAGTTTGTCTGCAGTGCTGGTTGTAAAGGGAACCGAAGCCTAGGCTTAAGGTTATAAATAGGCGGGTTCCCCTAAATACAACGAGGCACAAACACATGGTCCTACCAATTTGCCTCCAAGGCACACATGACCCCCACATTCTCCTCTGAACTACTCTGCACCCAACTTCCCTACTTCTTTCCTCCCTGGCCAGTATCTGAACTTTCAGTCCTGGTGGAAAAGAGCTCTGCCTGCCAGAGCAGAGTGAGCCGGAGGCCAGCTCTAAGGCTTCGGAATTTGCTCTGCCTTCTTTTTGTGACTTCCTCGTTAGGAAAAAGGTAGTTGAGGTACCAAGAAAGGGGACAAAGAGGGACTGTACCCTGAGATGGAAGGAGGCCTGATTTAGGAAGCTGAGTTGATTGCCCATAAAAGTGTGGCCACAGCATCTGGAGAAGATTGGAACCAGATGTTCCAGGATGGGGGCAGGGAGGGCATCAGGCAGGAACAGCCGCTCTGGTCAGGAGATTGGGTCGTGGGGGGTGGCATTGGGGTGGCTCATGGCACTCTGGAGAAAACATCTGGCTCCCCCCCATTCTCCGAGGCAGGTACTTCTATTTTTGCAAACTGGAGCAGCCAAACTTTTCAGATTCCAGAATCTGCCTTGTGCGTAGGGACAATCAAGAACAGGGCGAAACTTGGGAGGTACCCAGAAAGGTTACCAGCTGACCAGAAATATGTCCTTGCACCTCCTTGCTATGGGTTAAGCATCTCCCCCCCCTCCCCCCGCAGAGGAAGAGCTGCCTTGAGCTCTGAATGTCTCACTGGAAACCAGTGTACCAGAAGTTTGTTTTCAGAACAGGAATAGAGAGCAGTCCGGGATGGGGAGCTCTTTGGCAGAGAAAGCCTGGTCATTAAAAACCTACTATTTGCTAGACACAGTGACAGGCTGTCTTCAGAGGTCACTTCCTTCCATCTTCATAACCATGGCAGGTGTTCCTATCATTAGCAGGCCAGTATGACACAATTGAGACTCAGAGAGGTTAAGTGAGTCATCCAGGGTCACACAGGCACCAGAGTTGTTTGTGTTAAAGCTTGGGACCTTTCTGCTTCTGAGCAACATGAGAGGGAAGGAGGGGGGATGAAAGCGAAGGGCAGACTGGGTACCCAGCGTTCCTGATTTGGCTGTCAAGGCAACCTGGGGGTCCTGGGTTCCTTGAAAGGGTCCCAGCGGCTTCTACAGTCTAGTTTGCATTCTGGAGGCTTCAGAGCCTGGATGTTGGGGTTTCTTGACGGTCTCTGTAATAGGAGGGGAACTGATGGTAGGTGGCAGGTTTTGGGAGCAAACAACCCGCCATGGAGCAGCTGGTCAGTGTCACAGAAGCAATTCCCCGGGGTTGTGCTGGCCTGTCTGCCGAGGTTTGAGATGTGCTCCCAGGAGACGCTCTGGGACTTTCGTCTCTTCTCCTGACCCCAGGCTAGAGGTAAAGTGGATCTTCTCCCTGGTTTTCCCATCTTGAGGTATCTGGGGCTTAAGGACACTCAGAGCTGGCAGACAGCGAAGGAGCCACTGGGCCTTCCTCAGCCATGGCATCATGTGCATGGCACTGGAGTTGACCCTAGTTCCGATTGCTAGGTGTTTAGGGATGAGGGTGGGCTGGTCATGAGGAGCATGGTGATTTACTCAACTCTTAAACAAAATTCCCACAAGCCAGGCCTGTCTGGAAAAGCAAAAACACAAAACAAAAAAAACCCACCCCAAAAATGTTTCCACATCCTGCAGTCAGCTTGGAATAGCTCCCAATGCCCTAAGGAGGCCAGCCTTGTTCTCCATCTTCCCCTTGCCCATCTTACTTTGGCGATCCATCCTCAAAGTCCCCCTCCTGATTCCTCACCATCACCATCACTGACTATTCATCACCCATTACCTGACTGCAAGCATTTGGAGGTGAACATCAGGAAATCCAGACTTTTCCTCCCCCACTTCCCAGCTCAACAGTGATGGGGAACCTTGAAATAGCTCCAAGGACCTACTCTGGGGTCTTCACATTGTACCTACTCTATACACTGGTTTAGGAGCCAATACTGTGGCTCTGGCCCTACGCAAAAGTTAGGTAGGTCTCCATGATGCTCTGCACCTCCTGCTATTGGCACAGTGGCCTCTGTCACTTTCTGGAACTGAAATGCCATGGCTCCACTGGCCATCTCTGATAAACCCAGAAAAGGTCAAAAGGCTTAACCTAGAGTCCTCAGAAGAATGCAAGTCTTCCTGGATGATGGATTCTTGTGAGACATGTGCCTGGGGCAGCTGCATGGGTAGGTCATCTGTCTCTAGTCAAGTTGTTGTTGTTCATGAGATACACACAACACACACACACTCACACCTGCCTCCACCACCAGAGGGGGTGAGCTGATTCCTCTCAGTGGCTGGAAGCCTCTGGCTTTAGACAAGGTTGTGATCTTCTTGGCGCCTTTGGGCATATGCCTTAAGATCTGGGATTACCTTCCTTTGGATTTTACAAGAACCTGGAAGGCTGGTAGACCTGTGACCACTGGCTACACATTCTGTCATGGAGGAGTCAGTGCAAAGCTGGTAGGTGAGCAGAGGTTACAGGAGATGCCATGTGACTCCCATCATTCAGGAGCCCTTGGATTCTACTCATGGCCCTACAGGCTGTGTTGAACACCTTTCCCATGGAGTGGGTGGGTGGAATTAAGGATAAGTAGCTCTGGGCATTTCCTGTCTGTATGCAGGTCTCCAGAGTCTCATCTATAGTCATGCCTGGCAGGGGGCGGGGGGGGGGGTGGGGGCTTCAGGCTGGCAGGGTAGCATTTGGTGTTCTGGAAGGCCCTGGGTGTTTTGTCTACTGTCCATCACCGCTTTCTGCATTAAAGGCCTATATGAGGTCCACCATGCTATGCTGCTCCCTAGGGGTGGGTCCAGATGGCCTGGTAGAGTGTCT